CTTTCTGACACTTCCTGTATACTTTGGGGTGGTGGCCTCTCTGTGTGTGCACGGTGCAAGAGATGGACAGCGGGGTCTGTGTGGTTCAATTGCCCAAAACTCAGGGAGCTCCTCACGGGTACCTCTCCTCTGCCTAGGTGGCTTATGTTTGCTCGGTGCGTACGCAGACAGTGACGATGAGGAGGGAGAGGCACCTGAGAAATCGGTGCCGTCCACAGATGCCAACGGCAACAATTCGACAGATATTGACAGTACGCTGGCAAACTTCCTGGCGGTGAGTAACAATCCCATCCCGCGTCAGTCCTGAGGGGGCTGGCAGGCCCCGGGGTCAAACGGGGAAATCTCACCACCTTGTGACCGGCCTTAGTGTGTTTATAGAGGAAGGTGGCCAAAGATGCTTTCCCTGGGGCTGAAGGCAGAGGGTGGGGAGTAGTGTTTCTTAAACTTTTTAAGACTGAGGAACACCAAACAATATTTTTTGGGGGTGGGGAGGGGTGGCAGGGAAGGGTCGGGGGAAGGTCACCTTCCCCTTTAAGGGTGGCCATATTGAATTCTGTTGTCCTCCGTGGCACACCGCTGACTGCCTCGCAGCACATCGGTGTGCCACAGAACACAGTTTAAAAAACGCGGGTGTAGAGGATGAAGCTGGTAGGCAGGGGCAGGTTTCCGGGGCTGTCCCTGGGGTAGCGGCTGCTGTCTGCACATAAGGGATGGGCTTTTTTGCCCAAACTGTCTGAGTGCCCAAATCTGGGTCTTCAATTCAACTGTAACCCTTTTATGTCTTTGAAGGAGATTGATGCCATTACCGCTCCGCCCCAGCCTACTGGATCCACTGCTGCCTCTGCCGCGCCCCCGCCAACTCCGCCACGCCCAGAGCCCAAGGATTCTGCCTCCAGCCATCCCTCGGCTACGGCGAACGGCACGGGCTCCGCCCAGTCGGCGGAGTGGCAGTATGACACCCAGTGCTCGTTGGCAGGAGGTGAGCTCTGTTGCCGGGTTCGTCTGCCCCAGGGCGTGCGGGCAGCCATTCCAGCCAGGGCGCTGGGGGGGCCTCCATCCCCGGCAGCACGCCAGTCCCTTTCATTGACTGGAAACAGCCGCGTTCTCTGTAGCTGCGATGTCAGAAGATGAATGTTGTGCTGTAGCCCCAAGAATGAGACACTTAGTGGCCGACACACACAGGTTTGTGTCTTCCAAGGGCTGTTGGTGAGTGGCTGGCGCGGGGGGATGAGTGCAGGGACAGGTGGTGGGGTCTCTGTCTCTTGAGGCATATGCAGTGGGCCAGGGTGCGGGTTTAGGGCACCCTGCTCACTCAAGGCCTTTGGTTTTCTTCTCTCAGTGGGCGTGGAGATGGGAGACTGGCAAGAGGTCTGGGATGAGAACACCGGCTGCTACTATTACTGGAACACGCGGACCAATGAGGTGACCTGGGAGCTGCCGCAGTATCTCGCCACCCAGGTCCAGGGGCTGCAGCGTTATCAGCCCAGGTAAGGCCCTGCCCAGTCTCCTCTGGAGCGGAGAGAGGGTGATGGTGCGGCCTGTCACAACCTCTCCTTTTTCTCCCTAGCTCTGCGGCAGGCGGGGAAGGGAGTTTCCTGGTGGCGGCAGATCTGTACCCTCAGGAGAAAGGGGTCGCTGTTGCCAGCATTAGCCGCGGGACTCTCCTACCCAAGCGAGAGGTGAAGAAGGTCAGTGGAACTTGCCCCTTCCCTATTCCTGCAGGCCAGCTCAAAAGACGCTCTATCATGCTGCAGTCTAGTCTCCTCCCTGGGCTCCCGGGGAACAGATGGGCCAGGAAGGAGCTAGACGTCGCTTGGTCCTACCGTGAGGGCTGGGGCCTGGACTTGATGACCTCTCGAGGTCCCTTCCAGTTCTAATGTTCTGTGCTTCTAGACAGCCTGGTGGGACCTCAGCTAGCCACAGAGTTTGAGCATGGTAATGGGATAAAAACTGCTAGCCAGCTTCTAGTGCCCCACTGGATCAGACAGGATGCTTTCCCCAGAAGGACTGTGTTCAGCTCTGGGGCCCCTGCCCCGGGAGGAAGACAAGAGGTCAGAGGCAGGTGATGAGTGATCTGAGGCTGGGAAAACATCCATAGGAAGGGACTGCAAAGGCTGCAGCTGTCCAGCTTAGAGAGGACGTTGGAGAGGTGAGGGAGAGGAGGAGCGTCCGAGACTCCCAGTAGCCCCCAGGCCGTGTTCAGGTAAAGGGGTTAAGAGGAAGTCTGTGTACACCAGTGATCCCTGTAAGCTGAGTGCTTAGGCAGCCACCCGGAAGAGATTCAAATGCCAGACCGTTGATTAGCAAAGTGCCCATAGCCGGCAGCATGTGTTCTTACTGGTGGTGCACACCTATATAGGCCTCAGTGCGCGCACAAAATTTATTCAACACATGAATGTAAGAAATTAGAGGAAACGTTGCTGTGCACCAAGGCCTATTTGTTTGGGTCTAGCAGGCCTGCAACACGCCCTAGATGCCAGCAGAGCTGAAGTCTTTGGTCATAAGTCTGGGTGTTTGCTAGGTCAGATCTAGCAGGTTAAAGACTGAACCCCTCCCCAGTGACGCTAGGGAGATACTTCCCCATTACTCCGGAATTGTCCACTGCAGGGTTCTTGCACCTTCCTCCTAAGCCCTGGTGCAGGCTGGAGCATTGGACTGGTTTCATGTGGCACGTCCTTGATTGCTTCAAATCGCTGGCTGGGAAAGAGGCCCTGTTGCAGGGATCTCTCCAAGGGGAATGCTTCTTGTTCCCCCCGTGCCGCTGTCTGAGAGGCCTTTGGGTGGCTGACTCCTGTCTGTCCCGCAGGAGGTGAACGAAGGCGTCCAGGCCCTCTCGAGCAGTGAGGAGGAGAAGAAGGGGGTGGCAGCGTCCCTGCTGGCTCCCCTGGTGCCCGAGGTGGTGAAGGAGGAAGAGGAGCGCTGGAGGAGGAAGGTGATCTGTAAGGAGGAGGTCGAGCCAGTGCTGGAAGAGAAGGCAGCTGCAGAGGAAGTGGCAGTGGCCGCTGAGGATCCGGACCCTTGCAAGGATGCTCTGGAAGACCCTTCCCAGGAGGGTCTGTGCAGCGTGGTGCAGTCAGGGGAGAGCAGTGAGGAGGAGCAGGACACGCTGGAGCTGGAGCTCGTGTTGGAGAGGAAGAAGGTAGGCAGCAGGCGTGGCCAGGTCCTCCGCCATTAACAGCCCTAGAGGGAAACTGGTCACATCGCCACCCAGCCCCGTGCGGGCTGTGCTGGGGACTGAGTAAATGGGCTGCCCCTCAGCAACAATGGGGGAGAGAGGCACCACGCAGAGTGCTGCTCCCTCCCGCAGAATGGCCCCACAGCCATCGCTACACTGCAAGCCCTACGACTGCAGTGCGGCCGCTGTATACAGCGAGGGAAGGGGTTTCCCTTCACTGTAAAGACTCGAGCGGTGCTAGCCTGGTGCTCAGAAGCATTCTTCTGCGAACCTTGCTGTGTTTACACAGGCCGGAAGGTCGGCATAGCCACCGGGTGTAGGGGCTTGGAGATTTTCATAGATAGGCTGGTCTCAGTTAAAGCACAGACCGGGGCTGGAGTAGCAAGGAGCAGCGTTGGCTGAGGCGCTGCATAGAGAAATCTGGCTGTGACTGAGGGGTTTTCCCGAACGGGCACTGTTTCATTTCCCAGTCGGAGAGAATTGACGGGAAGGAAAGTGCCGAAGGGGGGCCCTTTCTGGAAAAAGGGACTATGCCCCCAACCTCAACCCAGGGGGTCTTCTCAGGGATCCCATTACTGCCACCCACCCCCTTCGCTATGGGCACACGTGTGCTAGGCTGCTGTGCCATCTGCTGGCAGATCCCTAGATTTCCAGGCCAGAGGGGCCCATGACGATTCAGGCCAGTGGTTTCTAGACTTCAGCAAGGCAATCCACCAACCGCACTTGGTCTGTTTTTTTTGGGACCTACCATTACATACATGTGCCTCCGCACCCAGCCCCCAGGGGTGTCTCCTGTCCTGCATGGTTGGCCCCAGCTCTCCACTCTGGGCTTGGCCCTCTGGCATGGGGATCGCAACACTGCATGGGCTTGGCCTGGCCACACTGGGTCCTGCTGTCCCCTCCCTGGGGCAGGGCTTTGCCTTCTTCCCCTACAAGTTCTCCCCCCGGCAGCACTCACCTTCTGGTCTTGTGGCAGGCGGAGCTGCGAGCCTTGGAGGAGGGCGATGGCAGCGTCTCGGGTTCCAGCCCGCTCTCCGATGGGAGCCAGTCAGCATCACACGACCCAGTGCCCAAGCCGCCCTCCAAGCAAGGGAAGTGGAAGCTTTTTGTCGGGGCTGCCAGCCCAGAGTCCACCAGCCGCAGCTCTAGCAAGGCTGGCCGAGAGACTCCTGAAATCAAGGAAGCAGGTAATTGGAGAGGTGCCTCCTGGGCCAAGGCCCTTGCTCCCTGTCCCGCCAGTGACTCCAGGGAGAGCTGTAGCCTCACACCAAATTGCAGAGTTCTGTGTGGGCTGTTCCTTCACCTTGCGGGGTCAAACACTTGGGGGTTTATCTGGGAGGGTCTCACTGCCAGCCTGAGCTCCTTCCTGTCTCTAAGCCCAGCAGTGGTGGCTAGGTTACGCATGTTTTCTTGGGGTCTCTGTGCATGCCCTCCACTGGGAGGAGCATCACAGCATGTGGCGCCCCAGAGCCTTTTGGGTGCCGCTCTGCAAGTCTGCGCGTAACTGCTTTTTATCCATGGAGACAGATGTCCACGGGATAGTTCTCGGTCTTCAGATCGGCTGTGGATACAAATTTTGTATCTGCGCAGGGCTCTGCTCCTGGGACAGCCCCAGCAATAGCAGGGAGCCGCTTGTGGGGCGGAGGGTGGCGTCGCTGCATAGGTAGTAGATCTGGGTGTCTCGACAGCTCTGGCCACGGGGGGATGGCATGTGCCCCAGAGCCTGGCAGGTGTGAGCAGCATTGCCACTGAACAGCTCCCTTCCTGGCAGAGGGTGCTTGGGGCCAGTCGGAGGGCTCACGTGTTTTGTCCCCCTCAGCAGTGAGTGCAGAAGCCACTGAGGAGACGTCGGACAAAGAGCAGGAGCCAGAGGAAGTCCAGGACAAAGTGAAACCTCAGGGGGCACCCAAAGCAGAGGAGGAGGAGCAGGACCTGAAGGTGGGTGGAGGCAGGGGAGAGAAGAACATGGAATGGGCAAGTGTTTGGGTCTCAGCTGCATTGCGGGGTGGGGCAGGGAGACCCCTCCCAGCCTCATCCTTGAGCATGGGCCATGTGGGGGTTGGTGCATGCCCTTGGGGCACTCTGTCGGGTTGGCCCTCTGGCCTGGGCCCCAGGGGAAGGTGCAAAGTGGGAGGGTTGAGGAAAGCCACCAGCTGGGTTTGGGTTCTGGGCGTGCTGCTCGTGGCTGTGCTGAGCAGCAGTACAGCGTGTGCTGGGGGCACGGACAAGACGGTGGCTGTACGGTGTGTGTGGAGGGCAGGGGTGGGAGTTGCCTGCCACTCCAGTGTAACCCCTCCAAGTCAGAGGGGGAAGAGGCCTCTTAGCTCAGGGCAGGGCTGGCTTGTTCCAGCTGGGCAGCATGAAATGGCTTTGCTTGCGGAACACGGGCCAGGGAGCCAGATTCTGGGTACTCTGTACAGCCCCTGGGCTTTCTCTCTGCCTCCCCTGCCTGCTCTTAGCTACCCTGGGGCTGTCCGAGGCCTGGCAGTCCTGCCCCGGGGCAGTCTGCAGGCCATTCCTCACCCCCTTGCACACCCTCTGTCAACAGTTTCAGATCGGAGAGCTGGCAAATACCCTGACTAGCAAACTGGAGTTCCTGGGCATCAACAGACAATCCATGTCCAACTTCCACATGCTGCTGTTGCAGACCGAGGTACCTGAAGCCTTCAGCCCTCTTGTTGACCTGTGTCCCTGCGGAATCAAACACCCTTCTCTTCCCTGGGTGCTGGGGCTCTGCAGAAGCCAGTCAGCTGGGCCCATTAATCTCACTCTAGGCAGCTAACTCCTGTCCCCTTACATTGTTCGTGTCCTTCTCTCAGCCCACCAGATGCTGGCCTGCCGAGGGGGGGTAGGGCAGCCCTCCTGGGTGGGCATGTAGGAGCCTGTTTGGCACCAGAAGAGCACACGTAACAGTGCAGCCAGCAGCTCGCTGGGCACCAGCAGCACAGGCACAGCACTGCACGAAGCTCAGGCGGACCACGTGCAGCTTGTGTGGGCCTGGGGGCCCATTGATTGCTCTGCCCTGCAGCCCAGAACTGCTGTCAGCGGGTCTGCCCGCACAGGACAGGTCTGCACCCTTGCCCAGCCCCGTCCACAGGGCTGGCTGAGCTATGCCACCTGCCCCCTTGCCAACAGGGCATCCCCCTCTGTTGCCCCCAAGGGTGGCCCAGCTCTTGCCAGTGTTGAAAGGGATCCCCTGGCCAAGTGCCGTGCCCTCTCCTTAATGCCGAAGCGTGACAGCTGCTTTGTTTGCTGGCCCTAGACCCGTATTGCGGATTGGCGCGAAGGAGCTCTCAATGGAAACTACCTCAAACGCAAACTGCAAGACGCAGCTGAACAGCTAAAACAGTATGAAATAAACGCCACTCCTAAAGGCTGGTCCTGCCACTGGGACAGGTACGCACTCTTCTCCCCTTTTCACCTTTCACCTTTGACCTCTCAGACATGGTTTGTGACCATCACCACCTGACGACGCGGCGCCATCTGTGCGGAGACTGAAAGCAGCAGCCGTTAGCGGTGCTGGGCAGGCAGAGAACCTCCGGCACTCAGAGTTTGGGAGTGCTTGGAATGGCTTTGGGTCGCTGATTGGACAGAGCTGGTGTTTACTCTCCCAAGTGTAACGGCGCTGAGGAGGGCGGGCTCGGGGGGTCGCGCATGCGAGAGCTCTGTGCACTTTGCAGGACCTCTGGATCTCTACTCCAGCTAACAACACCGATCCTCAGGAGAGCCCCCTGGCTGCGGATGGGAACCAAGCACAGGATTACTGTCTCCTCCCGGCAGGTCAGACCCAAACATTTCTTTTTCTATTTGGCTTTTCTGGATTATTTGTTCTTCGTTTGAAATGTTTGCTCTTTTGTTTTTCAGCTCCCAGAGCCTCTCACTCTCTCTAGTGTTCACTGTATGTTTGACACCAAGAGTATCATGCATGGGACCTCGACAGCCCATGGGGGGAGCAGCCGCCTTGCTTAAATTGGGCTGCTCCCTGTTTGTACTCTTTCTTTTTCTATTTGGCTTTTCTGGATTATTTGTTCTTCGTTTGAAATGTTTGCTCTTTTGTTTTTCAGCTCCCAGAGCCTCTCACTCTCTCTAGTGTTCACTGTATGTTTGACACCAAGAGTATCATGCATGGGACCTCGACAGCCCATGGGGGGAGCAGCCGCCTTGCTTAAATTGGGCTGCTCCCTGTTTGTACTCCGGAGCCCCTGCTCCCCAGTAGCCTGCTTTCCCAGCCCTTCTCTCTTGGAGGGAGGGCTCGGGGCTGGATTCACAGAGCCAGCAATGCAAACAGCTTTGAGCGAGCCAGCTCCGACCTCCCGCCTCAGAGCTGTTTGTTGCCTTTGTGAATGGCAGCCCTGCTAGAAGAGGGGCTTCCCGGTGAGAGCACAGCGCTGTCGCGGGAAAGGCCCATGTCTGCGTGTCAATGCAGGGGAGGGAATGTAAAGCCGCCTGTTCTTTCTTGTGATCTAGGGACCATAGGCGCTATTTCTATGTTAACGAGCAGACAGGAGAGTCCCAGTGGGAATTTCCAGATGGCGAGGAGGAAGAGGACGGGCCGGCCCCGGACAGTAAAACCGAGGCTGCTCCCAAATCGGCTCCGAAAGAGAAAGCTGAGCCCAGTGGTGACTCTACAATGGAGAACACCACAGGTACTGGGGGGAGGAAGGGCCTGGGGCGGAGAGATGGGAGGGGAAAGCAGCATGGACGGAATGGAGGGAGAGTGAGCATGGCTGGCAGATGCTGAGAGCTGCTGGTACCAAGGGTGGCTGGGTGCATAGAGACAGCTTCAGTTCCCTGCTCAGCCATGGATTTGCTGTGTGATCGTGGGCCAGTCCCTTGATGCACTTGTGCCGTCTGTCAGCTGCTGAGGGGCCCTGACAGCACCAGAACAAACTCCTCTGAGGCAGAGAGGGGCAAAAATCCCCTGGCAGCTCAACCTGCCAGATTTCACTAAGCTGGGATGTAGCTAACCCAGAAGGGAGGTGCCATGCCGGGGCAGCAGGCCCATCCTTGGCAGAGACACTGTGTATCCCTGTTCCCAAGAAGCAAGCTGCCCCTTGGGGGACAGGAGCCACATGGCCAAACGGAGGAATGGGTGAGTTGCAGCAAGGGCTGTTTCCAGGGTGGGTTGCCGGGCTCATGTCAATGTGTCTTCGCAGGTCCTCTCAGCAAAGACACCTTCTCTGGCCAGGCTTCCGCTTCGTCTCTCGTGCCGCTCACCCCGTTCTGGACGCTGCTCCAGTCCTCTGTCCCTGTGCTCCAGCCCCCTCTGCCCTTGGAGGTGCCCCCACCTCCGCCGCCTCCTCCAGAGTCACCACCGCCCCCTCCACCGCCGCCGCCCCCTCCTGGGGAGGACGGAGAGAGGCAGGAGGTAGAGATGGAGGATGAGGAAAGCGAGGAACCGCCAGCCCCAGGAACTGAGGAAGATGCTCCCCTGAAACCTCTTCGCCCAGCCGTCACCAGCAGCCAGGTGAGGGCGGGGAGCAGCTGCAGCTTGGGGCAGGTCCAGAATTTTGTGTGTGACAGAGACTGACAGTCTCGGCCGGGCATGTTTCCCAGTGGTCCTGCTCTGTGTCCTCCTGCGGCAAGGGCCAGCTCCTTTCCCCCTCCCGCTTCTGGGAGAGACTCAGGTGAATGATGTGCCCTCTCCAAAGGCCTTGGGCAAGGTCCCTCCCAAGAGGTGGTTGAAAGGTCTTAGAGTGTTGCTTAGCCCTGGGGGGGCAGGAGCAACGTCCAGCTTTAACCTGCAGAGAGGTGGCCGGGCGCACACTGGTCTGTGCTGTGAACTAGGATGGGGGCCGGGGATCAGCAGTGTTACAGTTAGGGAGATTCAATTTTAGTTCAATCAACTAGTGGATGGAATTTCCATTGATTGGTCGAAGCGCAGCACAGTTAGCTCCCAGCCCCCGGAGCTAGCCCCACTGCGGCTCTTTCTTTTAAGTGTACTAAGAACTGGACAGCTGATTCCTGGCTCACGCCAGGTCCCCCCCGCTGCACACCCGCCTTTTAAATCTATTAAGAGCCTGCCAGCTCTTAGTACCTTTAAAAGGCAGAGGTGCAGTGCCTGGGACTGGGCACGAGACGGGAATTAGCTGATTCCCGTCTCGCACCTGGTCCCTGCTACCCCCTGTCCCCTACAGAGATGGTGCTGGGGGGGAAACAGCTTTTAAGCCAGCTCCCACCGGCTCCTGCTTCCCTCCCCCCACCTTGCTGCCTCTCTCTGATAGAGGCAACAAGGAGGGCGGGGGAGGCGACTAGTCACTTACATCCCTAGTTACAATGGGTGAGGGGCAAAGTGCCCAGTAGTGAGCTGCCTGGGGCTGGTGGGGTGCTGCTGCTCTAGAACAGCCCAAATACCTTGCACTCCGTGCAGGGTTTTCTGCCACGTGAAAGGGTTCCTTGGCAGGAGTGCAAATGTTTCCCCAGAGAGTCTATTTGTCTGCCAGGGCAAGTGAAACTGCAGACCAAAGGCGAGTAAGACTGCAGGCCTGCTTGAGGTGCAGCCCTCCCCCCAGCACACCGCCGGCCCTCTGCGCTAGCAGCCTGTTTGACTGCCCCCTGGTCAGGGTATGGGCCACGGGGAGCAGTGAGGTCCCTCAGACAGGCCGGAGTTATGGGGGAGGCTGGAATGAGGCGGTGTGGCAGTCCAGCGTGGTGGTGATCTCCCTCTGGCCCTGGGCCCCCCAGGCCTAAGCTGGTCACGAGCAGAACTCAGCACAGTCCCAGCTTGAGTGGGCACATCCCTTGGCAGAGAGCCCCTCTCAGGTTTGGCCGGCTCTGCAGAGGGGCCAGGGAGACGGCTCCTCTCAGTCCAGCCCCCTGACTGCCCCCCCTGCTTGCAGAGTAACTCCGGAGGCAGCGCGCCTGCTGCCCCCTCCACTAAACCGCAGAAGAGGAAAGCCGGCGAGATGAGCACAGGGCTGGTGCAGCGAGCAGCGACCATCGGCAGCTGTCCCGTTCTCTACAGCCAGCCCATCGCGGCTGCCAGTGAGTACCAGGCCCGGCGCGGCTTCTGCAAGGCCAGGCTGCTAGCGTCTGCAGGGAGCAGCTGGGGACATACCGACCTCCATCTCTCTGCTGTGTCTGCAGGCCCGCAGCCCACGGGACTGAGCCTTCAGCAAAGTTACCTGGGCATGACCGTGCCAGCCATCGTGGGCTATTCGGAGTGTGCCGTGCCCTCTCGGCTCGCGGCCACCATGGCGCATCCAGCCCCTCCACGGGGAGCCCTGCCTGCCAAGGGGGCCATGGAGCAGCAGCCGCCGCCCCCACCTCCGCCACAACCGCCACCCCCGCCTCCCCCCGCCACCAAACCGCTGCCTCCTGAGAAACCTCGCAAGGGGAAAAAGGACAAGGTAGGAACAGAATCACTGCTGCCCATGTGGGCCGAGCTTGGGGGGAGCTGCCGTGGGGGAGATCCCAGCGGTGTCAGTGGGTCCTGCTGCCGAGAGAGCAGTCGGGGCAAGTCACTTCCCTCCTGTCTGTGATTGGGAGGCTGGCCCATGTGTGGCGTGCCTGGGGGCCCTGAGCGAAGGGCTGATGCTGCTGGCCACACTCCTGAGCTAGTAGGGGTTGCTGCTGGACATCACTGAAGTGACTGAGGGGGGAGGCCTGCTTTCCTGGTGGTAGCTAGAGACGCTGAATTCTAGGTGCTTCTCCAGCATTAACGGGGGCTGAGGGCACTACCATAATGTACCACCCCTAGCTTAGTAGGAGCAGGACTTGTGCCAGCCCCTTGACTCACTGCTCAGTGCCGCCCTCCCCCTGTCTCCCAGCCAGCCACCGGAGCAGAGTAACACGCCCTTCTGAAAGTGTCAGCTGTCTTTCCCGCCCACTCTGCCTCCATTCACATGGCTGGGTCCGGCTTGCTTCCTCTCCCTCCAACCCTGGCCCTGTGGGGGAGGGCCACCTGCTTGGTCCCACCTGTCCCCTTCCGCCTGTGCAGGGCAAGAAGGGGAAAGCAAAAATGCCCTCGCTAGTGAAGAAGTGGCAGAGCATCCAGCGGGAGCTGGACGAGGAGGAGAACTCCAGCTCCAGCGATGAGGACCGGGAGCTCACCTCTCAGAAGCGCATCGAGGAGTGGAAGCAGCAGCAGCTAGTGAGGTAGGAGGGTGGCGTGGGTCTGTGGGTGATGGGAAGGAGCCAAGTGGCTGCTGCTGCTTCCTCCCCTCTTCCCCAGTCCTTCCAGTAGCCCCGATGCCTGCTCTGAAGATGTTTATAGGAAGCTTCTTCTCTCTGACCATCCCTGTGAGAGGCATGGCGGGAGGAGCGTAGCTGACCCCTCCCATCAGATCTGAAGCCTGACTGCTGTGCTGTCATGCACTGGGGGGCGGGATTTCTGGCAGCCCCAGCAGCCAATAGGCACAGGGCCAGTTTCTGGCTCTCTGGAGAGTTAATTTGGTCACTCTGTCAGAGGCGGCTCTGGGAACTTGGCATCGCGTACACGTCCTCCCTGTGCGGAGCCTCCCCTTGCAGGGCGCTGTAGCCGCTGTCGCATCCACAAATGCAGGCTCCGGGCCCCCACCGGCTTACAGCACAACAGGCGGGGCGGGGCAGGGCGTGACTCGCATGGCGCTGGCAGCTGTTTTAGTGCCAGTCAGGCCATTTTCAGAGTTCCTGTTTCTGGGCTGAGACTCCTGTCACGGAGACCAGCTGTGTGCTTGGCTGCACTGGCCTGCCCAGAGGAGCCCAGGCCTCCGAGGGTGGGTTGCCTGTGCTCAGCCCCCACATCATTGCAGGGCCTGATGTGCTTTTTGTCCCCACAGTGGCATGGCGGAGAGGAACGCCAATTTCGAGGCCCTGCCAGAGGACTGGCGCGCACGGCTCAAGCGGAGGAAAACCACTTCGAGCACATGAGGCCACCGGCACTGTTTTGTTTTGTTTTTTTACACGTGTACAGTTTAGAGCCTCTTACCGATACGACTGTTGTCAATAAATTGTAACCGTTTGGGGCATCCTGTTTCAGTTGAATGGGCTGATGCAGAATCCCCCTAAGCCGGGACCTCTCTGGGAGTGGCAGGTGTGGGGAGGTGACAGGCCTGTTAGGGGTTGGGCAGCCCTGACCCGCCCTGTGCTCACCCTTTGGCTCCTCCTGACACAGCAGGAGGGCATGAATTGTGCATTGGAGGTTGGGCTCCGGCAATGACTGCATGGGATGGGCCTGCCTCCTGGGTAGTGCTGTGCCTGGCCAGTAGAGCGGAGTCCAGCACCCTTTTCTTGCCCCTTGCAGTTCAAGGAGGAAAAAACTGCTCTTCCCAGGTGTTCAGACCTAGTTCTCTGATGCCTCCTGGCATAGCCATGCCCAGCATCTGTGCCCTGCTGTGGCCCTGTCGGAACCTGTGTGTGCAGTTCTCCTGTCAGCCAGCCCTTGGCCCAGACATCCCTTAGAGCTCCCCTTTCGCTCGATTCCAGGCTGTGTCTGCAGGTCCAAGGGCAGAGACTAGACATGTCCACTTTGCCAGGGCCATGAAACCTTTTGTTGGCCATTGCTAAGTCCCATGGGTTGAGAGGCCTCATGTCCGGAACCGCTCGTGGAAAAACGTTGCTGTTCTTTCTCTAGTTTCCCTAGGCCCACCACCCTTCGCTCCCCCTCAGCCGCCTGGTTTCAGCAAAGGTGGCATTTTGTCCATTTTAAGCTCCCTCCCCCTTTTTCTTTGGCTCAGAATCAGGTAAAAATCATTTTCTTCCCACGGAAGGGAAGGCCGCTCGGGTTTCCAGACATTCGTATTTCTCCAAGTTTTGGCTTTGTAAATGTGTACATAGACATGAATAAAATCCCTTTTATACTTCAAAGCCTGTGTTCCTTATGTGTCAGCACGGGGCTGCAGGGACATGGGAGGGAGCAATCTTCTGGGGGACTCAGACTCCTCCAGCCCCGTCAGTTCTCCAGCAAAAGGGGATCTCTCTTGGTCTGTGGCACACTAAAGCGGTGGTTGTTGCTGGCATTGCCACCCTCTTCTCTGTAGTGGGATGATGATGGCAAACATCCTGTCATGGGATTTTTTTCAACTTAATTCATTACTTTGGTCCTACAGGCCTACCCTGGTCCCCCTGTTCTACCAGCCACTTCGTAAAGCCATGTCTGTCTTGTGCCAGAAGGAAATTTCTGAGAGGGCAGAAAGATTGAGGGTTTTTTTTTAATGGAGTAACAGAATGCAAGCGTTCTCAAGTGCCGGTCAGGGGTGCGGAGAAATGCCATGCCCTACCATGTGATGGGGGGGGGCCAGGCACAGTGAGGGAAATGTAGTGAATCCTAAAGGTTAAATTGACGTGGCATGATGAATCCCAGCAAACCTTCCTCTTGCCAGGAGGAATGTGGTATCTGTGTGAAGGGGGCAGGGCCATGCCACGGGGGAAACAGGCTGGCACGAGTCACAGCACAAAGCTGCTTCATTTGTAGGACGAGAAGTAACTAGTTGACCGCAACAGCCATCCCTGGCAGTTGTGCATACTGAGGCTTTATTGGCAGGACCAGAGGAGACGCCTGCCAGGGGACCTAAGGCAGAGCCAGGCAGAGCTGCTTGTGCTGGAGTCAGGCTGGCACATGTGCAATATGCCCCTCCACCCCAATCCAAGGGTCCTGTAGCGCTGAACCCTTGCTGGGGAGCAACGGCCAGCTCCAATTCCTGTGTGTACCCCACAGGGCGGACCATGGCCCTGCTTTGCTCCCTGCAGCTGGGGGGCAGCTGCTTTCTGCAGAGCTTGCTGCTCTACTGCCTTGGCAACCTCCCCGCAGCACTCTTCACTTGTCACACTGCTGGCTGCAACTTCCCTGCTGGCTGTCCTTTTTCTCCCGCCCTATTACACGGTCCCAGCCCTAACTGTGACTTCTCCCAGGGCAGCAAATTGCCATCCTCGCCCATGGAGAAGTCTGATCCTCCCACGCACTTATAGGCTACAGGGACCTGGCAGCCACTTCCTAGAAGCCATGGTAAACACTGCTAGGACTCTACCCCCTCCCCCCCAAATTCCCTGCTGCAACCCAACATCCTGTCCCATCCTGGAGCCACCTCCTGTGCCCCATACTTCTCACTCCAAAACTCAGACCTCACTCCTGCCCACCGTCCAACCTCATGTTCCAGGGCCGTGAAAGTGAGCAAGGGTGGGGCAGAGGAAGAGGGGATAAAGAGCAAGCAAGGGGCAGGGCCTCAGAGGAGGGACATTTGTTGATGGAGTGGGGCAAGAGGTCCCCAAAAATTTAGTATGAAAATGGGGGTCCTCAGGTTGTTGTAATCAGGAGTGCTGCTGTTTAAGCCTATCTGTTCCTCCCAAATTAATACAACAGGCCCACTCCATATAGCAGAATTGCATGTGCAGGCTATGGGGAGCAGAAGGGATCCCTCCATACTCACAGGTGCAGGTCTATAGGGTAGGAAGGCCTTCCTACTACACACCCGTGGCCAGGGCTATGGGGCAGTAGAGCCTGGTGTCTGTGTGCAGGTCTCGGGGGCAGTAGGAGCTGCTCCATACAGGGACAGCTTTAGACCGATTCGCCCGATTCCTCTGAATTGGGCCCCGTGCCCTAAACCCGGAAGTGTGCGGGGCGCGCTGTGGGAGGGGGCGTTGGCCCTGCAGGAGGAGCGCGGTGGCTTCTGTGAGCCGTGGGAGCAGGAGTCGGCCTCTGGGTTTGCCACAGTGCAGGGCTACGGGGCAGTAGGAGCTGGTCCATACATACGTGGGCAGACCCCTGAGGCTATGGGGCAGTAGAGCTTGGCCTGCACAGTGCGGTCCTATGGGGCAGTAGAGCTTGGCCTGCACAGTGCGGTGCTATGGGGCAGTAGAGCTTGGCCTGCACAGGGCGGGGCTGTGGGGCAGTAGAGCTTGGCCTGCACAGTGCGGTGCTATGGGGCAGTAGAGCTTGGCCTGCACAGGGCGGGGCTGCGGGGCAGTAGAGCTTGGCCTGCACAGGGCGGGGCTGCGGGGCGGTAGGAGCTTGGCCTCCACAGGGGGGGGCTGGGGGGCAGTAGAGCGTGGCCGGCCCAGGGGCGGGCGG